AAAAAAAAAAAAAAGAATTCCCTAATTATATTTATCTCATAAAGACATTCACTTATACTTTAATTTTTTCAAAAATTTTTATCTACTTTATAAATAATATAAATAATCTACTTTATTTATGTTTTTCTGTTTTGTTTTTTGTTGCTAGGGATTGAATCCAGGGTCTCTCGCATGCTAAGTATGTGCTCTACCAATGAGCTACACCCCCAGCTCTAGAACAGTTTCAAGGTTAAAAATCTTAAAATTGGGTCAGGCACAGAGGTGCATATCTGGATTCAATTCCCAGAACCACAAACAACAACAAGCAGCAGCAAACAAATCCTAAAAGATATGACCACAAAGATATGACTACTATTTTATTTATGTATTTATGTATTTATTTGTTCGTTTTTGGTACTGGGGATTGAACCCAGGTGTACTTTACCACATCCCCAACCCAGGCCCTTTTTATTTTTTATTTTGAGACAGCTTCTCACTAAGTTGTTTAGGGCCTTGCTAAGTTGCTATGGCTGGTCTCCACCCTACGATCCTCCTGTCTCAGCCTCCTGAGTCACTGGGATTAACAGGTATTCACAAAAGCACCTGCTCTGTCTACTATTTTAAAGACTAACAAAAACTATGGTATACTCACTAGTGGGAAATTGTGGTACAKTCTATTAAAACCACTTTTTATTCATGATATTTATGGCCAATGAACAAATGACATAATCTAACCCAAATCACCAGCATCTCTCACTTCAACTGCAAGACTTTATTTTTTAACTCAGCCAAATTCAATTTTGATGTCTTCCCTAAATTTCAATTTCTTCATCTATTAAATGGATATAATAATACTTAAAACCCCACAGGGTTAAGTATGGATTAAATGAGAATGCAGGTACTGTACTTAATTTGTTGCCTGGCACATAGAAAGTCCTCTTAAATGTTACCTATTATTACCTGAATAAATGTTCAGCCTCCATGAGTCCAGTGCTGGAATGGCATCACATATAAGAAACAAGTCTAACCTCAAAAAAAAAAAAAAAAAAAAAAAAAGTTAAAAGCAATTTTAAATTTTAATATACTGAATACCCTCAAAGAAAATACATTCAATTCGAAATCTACAGCAGCACTGCTTAATATTTCTTTCACAATTCCTTTCACTTGTGTTTCTCATAAATATACACCTGCCCTGAATCCTCAATTCACAATTAAAATTAAAAAAAAAAAGAAAAAGAAAAACAACTGTTCAATAGGCTCTTTCTCCTCTATTGATCTCCCTCTTCTTGTAAGCAGTTCTTGGCCTGCTTTCTAACATAAATTAGTAACCCAGTCTTCTTGGAATTCCTCAGCTGCTTTTTACCTATTATTTTTTATACAAGTCTAGAACTCAGCAAGATGATCTAGAATCTCTCTTAGTAGGTGAGAAATAGAAGTGAGGCTAGAGATAGAACAAACACATAATTTAATATATCCTCACCCCATTTGCAGGATTCATTATTATTGCTATTACAAGACCCTAAAGGGTGGTTGGTGCTGAATCTACTTCAGGAGCCTAGAATGCTGAGAAGCCTTGAATGCTGAGTGTCACCACTAGAAACCTTAATGTACCCAAGCCAGTCTGAATTCCCACAAGCTCTTGAAACACCTGAGCCCTACTGTGTTCTTATGCCAAAGTGAGGAGAATCCCCAACACATTATTTGGTTTTACAACTCTATTTCACAAATATAACATCAACTAAATTCTACCCTCTTGATGTCTTACGAAGATTTCCATGAAGGTTGGGGTTGTGGCTCAATGGCAGAGCACTTGCCAACATGAGGCACTGGGTTCAATCCTCAGCACCACATTAAAAAAATAAAGATATTGGTCCACCTAAAACTAAAAAATAAATTTTTTTAAAAAAAAGATTCCCATGAAAAACACTTCTCCAATTCTTTATACCTCCTGCACCTCAGGACATGTGGTTGGTTAAGGTTGGTTAAGGTGACATCAGGACATGTGGTTGGTTAAGGTTAAAAAGGGACAGCCAGGACACTGCCCTTCCACTTTTCACCATTAAACTTGGTCATAAAACACTACCCATATGGTGAATTTTTTCCCATGAAATGCCTTGTTCTCCCCCAAGCCAAGAAATTACTAGTTCCCTTTCCTCACCAGCCCTCAAGTCATGCCAAAACACATGTGATTTTTAAGCAGACACAATGGGCTCACACTGAGAATCATGCCATACCAAGAGGTGACTCTCCAACTCAGAGAAACAGAAGCAACATAATTCAAAACACACACTAGTATTTAGTACTATAATGGCTATTTTACCCCAATGTAATTTTATCATAATTAAAAGTGGAACACTTTGGGGAAGAAGTTTAATTGYTTTCCGCCCTCTATCCTCCATAACTCCCTAATAGCTTTCAGTTTTTTTAATAAAATTCAACAGCCTCATAAGGAACATAAGTGGTTTCTTCTGTCTTTGGCATCCTGCAAAGCATTCTCCCAGAAATACATGAGTTATCTTTTTTAAATGTAAATCAGATAATTGGGCTGGGATTGTGGCTCAGAGGTAGAGTACTCGCCTAGCACGTGCGAGGCCCTGGGTTCGATCCTCGGCACCACATAAAAATAAAAGATATTGTGTACAACTACAACTAAAAAAATAAATATTTTTTAAAAATGTAAATCAAATAATTAAGCATCCTCATTCAACTGGCTCTCATCCATGCAATAGACTATAGAGCCCTACAAAATTTGGCCTATTCTTGAACACACCAAACCAAATTCTTCCCATAGGTCTTTGTATTTGTTGTGGCCTATGCTCAAAATACTCTGCTTATTCAAAGAAATGGGATTTCTSCCTACCTTTCAATGAATAGTTATATGTCACACAAAGAGGTCTTCCTTGACTACCTCAATTTGAAGAATCTGTTCCTCCTTTTCTCCTCTATATCACAACACCACATCTATTTTCTTCATAGGATTTATCATAATCATTATCTATCTTATTTATTTACTGGAAAACTGTCTATCTTCCCAGACAAAAATGTAAGCTCTTAAAGGGCAGAAATCGTATGCATTTTGTTCACATACATATCTGCAATGCCAAATACTGTGTAACACAAAATAAGCCTGAAATGATTTTCTAATTGTCTGATTCACTTACAAAGTTAACTACTTCCTCTGAGGTAAACCTGGGCTTTTTAAGGTATTTAAATCTTATTTGTACAGCCAATAAGATAACCAAGTTAATAACTCTGTGTTCTCTTCTTCATTATAACGATCTGACTTACAGTCTCAGAAATCTTCCTTCCTTTTACTGAAGGTACAATTTACACTCAGAAAATAACATGGCAATCCAGTCTCACAACAGTTCTACGGTTCTGAGGGGCCCAAATACAAACATCTCAAACAAAAGCAATTGCCAAAGATCTGACTATGACCACTGCAATGAGGAGTTCCTCATAGTTCAGAACAACTTAGGTTAAACTTACCCAAGATGGAAATGCCTATGAGAGAATCACTACTGCTAAGAGCTCCGTAAAGCACTCCAAATAATGCCTTGAAGAAAACATCAAAGGATGGAAAGATTCAGTTCAGTCATCTAACTAGTAGAACATTCTATAAAGCTTTAATAATGATCCTATCACCAGAAAAACAGATACTTTTTCATAGACTTCTAATCAGATGTATTTAKCGGACAATATCTATCCTTTATAATAAAATGCCACGGAGTTCCTATTCCTATCAAATTACCACCGGTTTGGGCAACAGATAAATCAGAAACTATAGGTAACAAATCCACTTATCTGGGACTCAAAGCAATTAATTAAACTTACTCAGAAAAGGACAACTGCYTCTAGTCACCTGAAGACAAATTTCAAAGATTTGAACAAATGTGACATTTGGGTACACCAAAAAAGCTGTAATCTGAAAAACAGCCACATGTCACTTTCAATGGTGTACCCATACTCACCCTCTATAATAAATTATTTCTAAAGTCAGCTGAATCTTAAAAAATGATTTTTAGTTTTCTCTAAAATAAGAAGCTATGGCAGCTACCTTAATGAGAAGCCCAATAAACTTAGGGCAAGGGGCTCATTTTGTTGACATTGTCACCTCACCTAGAACTTATGCTGATTCACTCTGATAGGTTGACAGATCACTGACATCTTAGCCTTTCCCAAGTTTCTTGTTTATTTCACATTATTAAAAAAAAAAAAATCACTGTCTACTCAAGACAACTACAATCTAGATATCTCCTGCTATCAAGCCTTTCCCTCCCTGCCTTCATTGAGCATCTGGCCAGGGAGGGAGTTATTTCAGGTTCATCTTAGTAACTCTGAATAACTAATAAGCTATATAGCCTATAAAAGGACCAGAGTGGGCCAGACATGGTGGCACATGCCTATAATCCCACTTAGAAGGCTGAGGCAGGAGGATTCAAGTTCAAAGCCAGCCTCAGTAGAGAGAGGCCCTAAGCAACTCAGTGAGACCCTGTCTCAAAACATAAAAAAGGGCTGGGATGTGGCTCAGTGGTTAAGCACCCTTGGGTTCAATACCTGGTTAAAAAAAAAGAAGAAGAAGAAGAAGAAGAGGAAGAAGCAGAGTTCATTTCCCTATCCCTTGAATCAGGTCTGCCCTGCCCTTGTAACTTGCTCTGATCAACAGAGTGAGRCATAAATGACACCACAACTTCTGAAGCTAGACCTCAAGAGGCCTTGCAACTTCCACTCTCACCCTTTTGGAACATAGCCATCATGCAAAGAGGCCAAGTCAGACTGCAGAAAACATCACAGCAACCTAGCTGTCAGCTCTAGTCCAGTGTTAGACATGTGAGTAAGGCTCCTTGGGTCCAACCAGTTGTCAATCTGTCAAATGACCAAAACCACTTATAAATAAACCCAGCCAATACCATATAGAATCAAGGCAGAGTGTGCCACATTAGCCCTGCCCAAACTGCCAAACCATTTATATCATAAGCAAATAAATAGTTTTAAGCCACTAAGTTTTGAGGTGGTTTGTTCCATGGCAGTAAATAACAGAAATACCCACAATCAGCTGAAATTAATTCAAAACATCACATTGAGCTACTGAAAATCAGCCTGTGTAGTCCCAACATGTAAGGAAATCAGAATCTGTAAAGAGCAATATATAGGACTACTACGCTCCAATGTTAAGATATATGCCAGGGAATTTCACCAAATTGATCAGATTTATCAATCTGATCCCATGTATATCCCATGAGCAAATACCCATAGAAGATATGTGCAAAGATATGCACCCATCAAAGAACTCATAATGAAAACTGATAGAGAATGTCTATCAAAGAATAAGACACCCAAATTTAAACAACGGGCAAAATAACTTAAATGGGCATTTCACACAAGAAGATACTTAAAGAGACCTATATGCATATGAAAAAATGATTCAACATCAAGTCATCAGGGAAATGCAAATTAAAAATACGAATAGMCACCACTAATCTCCAACAGATTAGCTAAACTTGAAAGAACTGATAATACTGAATGTAGTCAAAAGACGTAGTACATCCAGAACTCTCATATCTTGCTGGCAAGATAATATAACAACTTTAGAAAACTGAGAATACTTAAGCTACACATACAAATAGCCTATGACCTAGCAACTCCACTCCTAGGCATATAATCAACAGARGTGAGTATATATGTCTTACATGTATAAAAACTTTGCACAAGAATGTTCATAGGGGGCTAGGGTTGTGGTTCAATGGTACAGTACTTGCCTAGAATATGGAAGGCACTGGGTTAGATCCCCAGCACCACATAAAAAATAAAATAAACAAATAAAAATAAAGGTATTGTGTCCATCTATAACTAAAAAAAAARGGGGGGGGGAATATTTTTTTAAAGAAAGAAAGAAAGAATGTTCATAGGCCAGTGGCTCAGGAGGCTGAGGCAGGAGGATCACAAGTTCAAAGCCAACCTCAACAACTTAGTGAGGCCCTAAGCAACTCAACGACATCCTGTTGAGTTAAAGGACTTGGGATGTGGCTCAGTGGTTAAGTGCCCCAGGGTTCATTAATCTTTGGTACACAAAAAAAATACAATGTTCATAGTAGTATTACTCATAACAGTTCAAAACCAGAAACAATTCCCCAAGCACAGTGGTACACACCTGTAATCCCAGCGGCTCAGGAGACTAAGGCAAGAAGATCTCAAGTTCAAAGCTAGCCTCAGCAATTCAGCAAAGCCCTAAGCAATTCAGTGAAACCCTATTTCTAAATAAAATATAAAAAGGGCTGGGACGAGGCTCAGTGGTTAAGTGCCCCTGGGTTCAATTCTTGGTACCAAAAAAAAAAAAAACAAAAAAAACCTGGAAACAAGTTTCAACAGAAAAAATATGATGGTAGTCAGACACTTGAGTATAACAGCAATGATAAAAGAATGAACCATTGTTATACCACTGCTATAATGTATATGTAAATACATACATTAATCTCAAAGGCAGTGTTGAACACAACACAGAAGAGTACATTGATGGGGAAAGAAAAGATGGTGAAATGAGATGGACATCGTTACCCTAGGTACATGTGTGATTGCACAAATGGTGTGATCCTACTTCGTATACAACCAGAAGTGAAAAACTGTGCTCCATTTGTGTACAGTGAATCGAAGAGCATTCTGTTGTCATATATAACTGTTAAGAATAAATAAATAAATAAATAAATAAATATATATATAATTTTTTTAAAAGGAGTACATATAGTTCTATTAATATGAAATACTAATACAGGTAATACTAATTAAGGTAACAGAAGTCAGAATAGTGGTTATCTTTTGGAAGTCATTTATGTGAAAGGGATTCTAGGGCATTACTGGTGTGTCTGATCAGATTTCCTTCCAGAGCAAACTGCCCAAACAAGATTATTTAAAGAGACAGCTTATAACTAACTTGGAAATTATAAGCAGTTTGGAAGCAGTTGGTCATGTTCTTGCCTATTCAGCCTGCATGCAAGATGCTGCAAAGATGCTGCATGCAAGATGCTACGCTAAAGTTTTGCTTTAGAAAGGACATGCTCTGACCCCTGCACTTGTCTGCACAATCTGACCTTCTATGGCTACATGACCAAGTCAGTGTCTTAGTTTAGGACCTCATCCTGTTCCACTGGCCTCCTTATCATCAGAGATACTGTAACAAAAATATTCCTTAAAATAAATAAATAAATACATACATACAATGGTATCACTATCATACATAAATTTCCTTGAAATACATACTTATCTACATAAAACCCTCCAATGATTCCCTACTGCCTATAGAAAAAAACAATGTACTCCATTCACAGGATGCTAAAGTCCTTTTGTGATTTGAACCCAGACTACCTTTTTTCTCTCATCATATGACTCTGAGTTCCAGATACAACAGATCACTTGTAGTTSACCTAGAAAGCTCTAAGTGGTCTCACCTCTCTGGATACATTATACATCCTTTATCAAGAGCAGCAGTTCTCAGAGCGAGGTCTCAGGAGGTCTAAGAAGTCAAATTAGTTTCATAACACAGTGAAGATATTCTTTTTCAAATTAATACTAAGATGTTATTTTKCCTTTTTCACACAGACAAAAGGACTGACAGGTGAAGCTACCAGTGCCTTCACATGATCAAGGCAGGAACATCAAACTCTACATTTGAAGTTTTTTAAAAAGTATAAATTTCACTTAAGAATATCCTGGATGAGGGCTGGGGATGTGGCTCAAGTGATAGTGTGCTCGCCTGGCATGCATGAGGCACTGGGTTCGATTCTCAGTACCACATAAAAATAAAAGATATTGTGTCCACCCCAAACTAAAAAATAAATAAAATTAAAAAAAAAAAGAATATCCTGGATGAAGCAGTAAAACTAATTTTTAGTCAACTCTCAATATCTTCAAGGAACTGATGCCAGAATCATCTCTCCACCCCTTGCTCCATTCCCCCACCAACCAAACTCTACAGATGCTCAAGTCCATTATAAAAAAATGGCATAGTATTTGCATATAATCTTTAAATATCTTTCCACATACTTTAAATCATTTCTAGTTTATAATATCTAATGTAAATGCTATATCAATAATTATTATAAAGTACTTTTTAGGGAATAATGATAAGACAAAAAGTATGTACATATTCAGTAGAGCCACAATTTTTGTATTCAGAAGTACAGAACCAAGGGGCTAGAGCTGGGGCTGGGGCTCAATGAGAGAGTGCTTGTTTAGCATGTGTGAGGCACTGGGTTCGATCCTCAACACCACATAAAAATAAATAAATAAAATAAAGGTATTTTTTTTTAAAAAAGAAAGAAATGCAGAACCTACACATATGAAGGGCTCACTATATTAAATTTCCACATCTGAGTTCATGTCTTTTTAATAATCTACATAACAAAATGGTAAGTACAAAGCACTTCTGCTACAAACAAAAGTACAACTATCTCAAGGAAAAGCACTTCTGTAACTGAACTTCAAGCTGCCCTGGCTTTTCTCACTTAGCATTTTATTTGAATAAAGAATTTTGGCAAACTATGGTTATTCAGCCTTGTATAT